CATCAGACTCCCTCTATCAAAACCACCTGGGAAATTCGTAAAAATGAACTTTCTTGAGTCTCAATTCAAGTTGACTGCGTCTGACTATCTGGAAGACTGTGGCCTGGAATTAGATTTTTCACAAGCTTCTCGGATGATTTTTATGCATAGTAAAGTTTGAGACCCACCACTTGAGCATTTTGTATGATTTGCAGTAATCACTGACATTTGTGGGGCCAGGAACAAGGGTGCAGATGGAAGTTCACATCCCATGTGTCTAAATATCTTAAAGTTAAAAATCAACATAAAAATTGTTAAAAATAATATATTCCATTCTCCCACCTTCACAGGTATCATTTTATAATAGTACCGAGGGACAATTTCAAATATGGCATTCTCAGGCTCAGTCCCTTGAAGTTCCAACTGGAACACAGAGAGAGCTGATCCCAGCCCCTGGCCTCCACCCTGTAGATGCATCCCCTTCTCTTGTTATCCCTGCTCAGACTCACACCATGAATGACCTGAGGAGCACATGTTTGAACACCACAGCCCTCACCTCCAAGCCTCGCTCCTCCACAAAGAGCACCCCTTGAGTCTAGGGATGCATACATCAGTGGTACAATTTTCCCTCAGAAGGTCAGACCCTAGGAAGAAGCCTGGGTAAGTCCTGAAAGTGAACTTAAGACCATCTGAGCAGAGAATTCTGGGGTGTTCTGTACCTGGAACATGGTCTAGATGGACAGTGTGGACTCCGGGTGGCCCTATAACTCTTTGCCTGGGGTGGGGTGTGGCCAGATGAAGGATGGAGAAGAAACCTTTTACCTAAACTAAGGGTGGCACTGCTCTTCCATGCCCAGCACAGTATGTGACGATACTAAGAATTTAATTAGACACAGTAAAAATGAGACACAATCCAGTTTGCTTTATCCAGCTAAATGGCTTTTAGAGCACTGCAGTTGTGATCTTTATAGAGACACTGATACTGTTTTAATCTCTATAGAGAGAGAAGCACAGAAAGACCAGGGCTGGTCCCCGCTCGCTCAGGTGTGTCATCAAGAACACACTGGCTGTTTTGTCCTTTATTTCACATGCCAAAATAGCCAGATAGTCCTAACTATCAAGACCAAGATTCCTGAGACAGGCTCTGCATGACTTGAACCCATATGAAAAAATTCTAACAGAATGTTAGAGAATGTATTTGCAGAGAACATCTACAAATACTGATGAATGTGATTTGGTTTCAGAACACCCAGCTTCTGTGAGAACTTGGATGCTTTTTCAGACTTAATTCAGCTTATTTACATTTCTGAGGCACATAAATTCCAGCCAGAGGAAGCATTCGGCAAGTCTTGCCACCTGAGGTTGAAGAAGGATGAGATAAGTTTGCATAGTGCAGGGATTTAGCCATGGTGTCATAGGACCCTTGGGATGTCACTTTGCCAGTCAGAAACCTCTGTGGCCAGTGGCACCTTTGCCCAGAGATTTTACTCAGGCCTGACGGCTGGGCTCATTCTGCTCACTTGGCCTAGCAGGCTACACTCAGCTTGCACTACTGGCCTTAATCTCATGCCTGCCAAGGGTGAGTCAGGTATGAAGTGATGATGTGTGTATGAGCGAGCAAGTCCGGGTCTGGCCACTGCACACCACCAGGTACGCTGGCTGTGGCGGCACCAGCTCTCTGCGAGGCTGCAGCTAGACCTGATATACCGCAAGCAGCTTCTGTGGCTGGCACTGGGAAATGTGGTGGAGCCTGGAAGCTTGGAGACACCAGGAACCGCAGAGCCCCAAAGAGGGGGTCACAGCCCTGGCTTGGGGAGCTGCAAGGTCTAGGCTCCCTGAAGGGCCATAACTGTTCTCTCCTTCTCTCTTCTCTCCTTATTATTGCCTGCAATGTGGCAAGCAAGGGGAGTGTTTCAGCCCTGGCTGTGTTACAGCTGTTTTAGCCCCACCATTGGTGGGTCCTGAGTTCTTGTCCTGTGTCCAGGAAGAAGAGGTACACAGACAAGTGGAGGGTGAGCAAGGTAAAGAGGAGCTTCACTGAGTGACAGAATAGCTTAGAGGAGACCCAAATTGGGTAGCTCCTCTCTGCAGTGAATTGTCTGGTTGTCTCCTGGAGTCTGGCTGAGTCTGGAGTTTTTAAGGACTTCGGAGGGAAAGAGGTGCGTGCTGATTGCTTTGTGGGCAGCCATGGGCAGGCCCAGAAAGAGCACCATAAGTTCCCATTATCGTCTGTCAGCTCGGCCCCCAGGCTTCAGGATGTCCCTAGCTTGAAGGTGGGTTTCACTGGGGATCTGCCCCTCTCTACCCAGGACTCTGTCTGCCTCCTGCCAACATCCACAGCACCCAGGCTATTTGTGCTGAGGGGTGCGTGCAGGCCAGTGTCCAGCTGCTCTCAACTCTCACTTGGCCTCCCTCCATTGCTCATCAACACCAGAGGGGGCCAAGGTGACAGGTAGCTGGCATGTCAGCACTGCTTTGAGTGTGCACACACACAGCCACATGCATTCAGGCTTGGCCTCAAATTTGCTCTGAAATCAGAGTGGGTGCCTGGAGCAGGGAGCAGGCATTTCTAAGCCTACAAGGGGAGAGGGCCTCCTGGGTCCCTGAGAGTACAGAGATGCCAGACTGGCAGCCACTGCTGAGAGGCTGCAACTGTGCCTGGAAGTGTGTGCCTGCCTGCTCATGGCCCCCAAGAGCACAGGGATGCCCGGGTTTGGAGCCATGGTTGAGCAGCTGCAGCTGTGCCTGGGGAGCATGAGGCTCCTGCCCTGATAACTCAGAAGTGGGTGGAGCTTCTCTGCCTGTTCCAGCTTCCGCAGGCTCTGAGGAGCACTCAGCCCCAACCATGCCTCCGCCACTGCTGCAGCTGCTGCAAATAGGACAGGCAGCTGCTGCAGATAGGACTGCTTTATACTGCTCCAGAGTAAGAATAGACAAAATTTTGCCTGGTAGTGGCCTAGAGGCAACCTGGTTAACAGCCCCAGGACCATATCTGGTGTCTCTGCCTCCTGTAGACTCCCCTGGGTGATGGCACAGTCAGAGGACAAAGAAAGGCCTTCTGTTATTTTCTTTTTCTTTTTTTTTTTTGAGATGGAGTTTCGCTCTTGTTGCCCAGGCTGGAGTGCAATGGCGTGATCTCAGCTCACCGCAGCCTCCGCCTCCTGGGTTCAAGCAATTCTCCCACCTCAGCCTCCCGAGTAGCTGGGACTACAGGTACACGCCACCATGCCCAACTAATTTTTTGCATTTTTTAGTAGAGACGGGGTTTCACCATGTTGACCAGGATGATCTCGATCTCTTGACCTTGTGATCCACCCTATCCACCCGCCTCGGCCTCCTAGAGGCCTTTTGTTATTTACTAACTCAACTGACGGGAGGAGGCTGCCATTGACAGGCAGCTCACTTCAGACTTGAATTTTATCTCAGCTGCAATCTTTCCCCACTCATTTCTCCAGGCACTAGTTAGGCAAAGTATGTGGGAAAGGAGAATAAACAAAGAACTAAAACAAACAAACAAAAACTGAGTAGCAGGACAGCATGGCTCTAGAGCCATGGCCGTCAAGGATCTGTGCACTGTGTCCAAATGACTGTGCATTTGTTCTGAGGCCAAGCAATAAACGTTTGGGCTTTACTGCAGAAGGAACATGGAATTATTACTCAGGGCTTTGGAGTCTGAGTGACCAAGATTCAAATTCTGAGTGGCTGTCTCACTTGCTGAATGCTTTTAAGAAAGATACCTAAACTCTCAAAGTTCCTATTCTTTCTCTGTGAAATGCCAAATATAACACTTTGTGGCAGGGTTGTTGAATACTGAACAAGGTAACAAATGAGCTCCAAAAGAGTGGGAGGCTTTTCCTGTTAACTACTTATAATTCCAGCACTTAGAACAGTGGCTGGTTCATAGCAAGTGTTCAATAAATACATATGTACAGTAACCGCAGTCATTGGCATAGGATAAATATAAAAACAATTCCCTTTAACAGAATTCTATTTAAAGCTTTACGATGGTAGTACTGTTTGTGTTTCTATAACCCTCATAGATCAGTACCTTGGATATATTGAGTGTTCAGTCATTCTTGTTGACTGCAAATAACGACATCAAGGTTGAACATAATTGAAACTCCAGTTGAATGATAATATAGCACAATTTTCATTTGGGTTATGATTCTTGTGTCTCAGATATCACATATAGCTTTTTGAGCAATTTCATCAGTATTGCTTATTATTTGTATATTATATTGAATGAAAGACAATGAATTAGATTACCATTTGCTTCATGATTTGATAGAAAGTGCACAGGATTTAGTCTCTGATGATTAGATCCCACGTGATGTATCATATGGTGTCCGTATAACATTAACAAGTCACTTAAACTTTCTGAGTCTCATTATTTTATTTATTTATTTATTTTTTGGGGGGCCCAAACAACTGTACACTGTTTATTAAGAACACCTGTAGATGGAAAGGAGGGATGCCCTGTACCACATTGTGGCCACAGCTGACTGGGAGCCAGGACCAGAGAGCACTGGCAGAGCTGGGGGTGGACTTCCCATGACACACTGACCATCTCAATGAGGAATGACGGGACCAGGCCTAAGAGCCTGGTACCATGCTACAAATGGGGACTGACTGGCCTTGGCCTTTAAAAACAGAGGGTCCGGGTATGGGGACTACCAGAAAAAAATAGAAAATCTAAGATTTTTTTTAAAAGGTCCTCCTGTACATAACAAGACAGCATCTGCTCTCTGGGGCCTGAGACTGGCAGCAGGGACCTCAGGCAGGCAGGCAGGCAGGCAGGCCGAAGGCCTTTAGGGAACATCAGTGGTTTGGTTGAGACAGTCAGCTGCACAAAACTGGCCAGTCACGAGCACCCAGAAAAACTTCATCCATGTTCTGGCAGGACAGGAAAGCACCTGGCCCCTTGGGAATATACAGATATTTACCATATTCTCTTTGCTTGTTACAAAAACAGTTAAGAAAGCTTACAGCAGATTATTTACAAACAGTATCCCAAGATATAATGAAGGCAGAGGTGGGCTGGCTTGGAGGATGGGATCTGTGGGGGCGGAGCAGCCATAGCAGCCCAGAGGGTCCCGGGCTAGGCCGTCTCCCTAGGCTTCAGGCTCTGCAAGGCACTGGACTCTGCCTACTGAGAAGGGGGCTTAATTCTTCTTGTGGAGGAACTTCATTTTGTTGCCCAAACCTCAGAGAAACTTATTCATTCCACTCTGCTCAGTGTCTGGGAGTTCCTCTAAGTACTGCTCCACTCGCTGCTCAAAAAGGCCCTTTGCCCGACACTTCTTAGCTCCCTGTCTTGGATGAAGCCAGCAAACATCTGAGACTCCATAAAAACCTCAAGACAGCGGCGGATGCTTTTGGAGGCCACAGATTTGCGGAAAGCCTCTAGCTGAAAGGCCCTCTCCCCCTTCTCACTCTGTGTCAGAAAAGGGGAGTAGTGCCCAACGGTCTCCACAAAGAACCGGATAAACACCTCTGACACCAGCCCATTGAGGGTATTACATTCATCGTCGGAGTCACTGTCAGAGTCCTGGGAGATCAGCTCATTCTTCCTCTCCAGAGCCTGCTCCAGAGCCGCCTGTAACTTCCTAGGTAACAACGTGTCCTCGTCATCCATCTGTCGGATGAATCGGTCAGATCCCAGATTCACCATCAGCGCCTCATTGCCAGCACCTGGCAGGAATGTCTTCACTTTGATGGTCTTCCCAGGGGCTGGGAAGGGCGACTCCATGAGACTTCTCATGAAAGGATAGACCAATGCGGCGGAGATCCCACGGTGGCGCTCCACCTCGTCTAGGACCTTGGAAAACAAGCCGAAGCAGCCAAGGCGGCTGATGACACAGTACACCTCTGGCAACCGGGGCCCTTTCCCACTTGGCAGTAAGCGCCTGCAGTAGCCAAAGCGTCTGCTGCCATCTTCCCCAGTCAGCATGAAAGAAAAGGTCTCGCTGCTATACTCTGACACAGGGAGCCAGTCCTTGGCATCAGGGAAACAAAACTGGGGAATGGCTTTGAGCCTTTCCTCTGCCTCTCGCATCTGCTTGGTAGGTCGGTCCAGCTTTGGAAACTGGTAGGAGACTTCGGGGAGGTAGGTGTTTCGCGATGGCTTCTTCTTGAGGGACACCACCACAAAGTACTCGAAAAGCTCTCGCTCCTGCCACTCCAGCAGCTCCAGCTCCAGCGTGCGACAGCTGGGTGCGCACTTCAGCATGGACTGGATGTGGACGAGGCGCTGTGTGTGGGCTTTGAACCTGTCATCAGAGTCGCTCTCGCTGTCACTGTTTTCATCTCTCAGTGATGCTGTCTCAGTGCTGGACATAGTCAACTTTTTTAACCTCTTCTTTCCTCTCTTGGCATTGTAGATGGAGTTTATTCTTTGGACAAGCTGGGGAATGCGGCGGGCCCGGCGGCTGGACAGCAGCTCACTGGTGGTGCTGAGACTGTCTTCGTTGAGGCTGGAGGGTGAGGACGGCAGGCTCAGCTGAGCCAGCAGGAGCATGTCGTCATGGCTGTGCCGCTTGGGTAATCGTGGCAGCCGGTGGCTCTTCCTTTCTGACCAGTTCCCACTGCGCAGGGACTGGCTGTTGGGTTTCAGGGAAAGCTGTGTGGGTGGGCTGTTGTCCTTCCTGTCCTGAGGACTCCACATCCTGTGCAGAGAGTCCAAGGAGTTCTCAGACAGTTGCTGGGATTTTCGTCCTGCTCTTCGGCTCTTTCAGTCCACATCCTCATATGGATTCTCCTTGGGCAGATCTCCCACAACATCTTCATATGCATTTTCTTCTAAAGTGCTTTTGGATCCAAACTTGGGTTGGTTCTCAGTACCATTCTCAGTGGGAGAAGAGGGGCACAGGGACTGCAGACTGGAGGCATCCTCAAACTCGAAGGCTTTTCTGCTCTGGGACTTGCGGTGTCCACGAATGTCCTTCTTGGGTCTCGAGGTGACCGGTGGGGCTGGGGTGGAGGGCAAGGGGGGTGGAGCAGCAGGTGTGGGCGAAGGAGGTAGACCATTGCTGGGCTTACTCTTGGGGTTCTTGTCAGCCTCATATTCAAAGGTGCGCTTGGGTTTGGGGACAGGGTTCACAGCAGGATCAGGGGAACTCTTCGATGGCAGTTGCTGGGAGCTAGGACTATTTCCAGGGGTTCCGGGCCTGGTGGAACCACTGCCTTCCCTCTCTGGGAGTGGGCCCACCTCCCCCCCAACTCCAGCCACTCCTGCTGCCTGGCTGCCAGGGCCACACTCGCGCCCCCTGCCGGCTCCTCCAAAGGGCCCAAGGTTCCAGTCTCCCTTTTTCCCCCGTCCACGCTGTAGCAGCTGCTGGGGAGCTGGGGGAGCCCCCGGCCTGGCTGCTCCTTCAGGGCCTGTTCAATTTTCTGGATCCGGCTCAGCACTGCTGAGCTCTCCTTCCTGCTGCCATGCCCCCTGAGGAAGGCGCTGGCCTCACTCCGGCCCAGCCGCTTCTCCAGCCGGTAGAAAGAGTCCCGGACAGGGAGCGCCTCTCCTTCCTCCTCAGTCTCTGGGTAGAAACACTCAGAGAAGGTCCTGCTCATCCTCCGGAGGCTCTTGAAATCAAAGGTTTCTGAGCTGCAGGGGGACGGCACCACGCTGGGACAGCCCAGGCTGGGGCAGCCCTCACTGGCCGCCCACTCGCCCCCAGAGCCCTCCTGCATCTCTCCGCACATGCTCACCCTGGGCGATGCCTCTCGGCGACCTTCCCATGCTGAGATCTTCTCCCGGATACCCAGGCTGTGGGCACGGGTGCTGGCACGGGTCAGCAAGACGCCCCGTGGGCTGGCCGCTGGCCCCGGGAATGGCGTGCTCTGGGCAAGGGGGAGGCAGGCAGCTACCCCCGCTACATCCTGGGCTGCACCTTGCGCATTCTCCTTCTGGGCTTCTCTCTTGCACGCTGAAGAGCTTCTGTCCAAATAACTGAAGCTGGCAGTCTTGAGGGGACAGGTGGCTGGGGAAGTATCTGGGGAGGGATCTTGAGGATTCCGGGGTGAAAGAGTGTAGGGGTGCCAGTCCTTGAGGAGCACCCGGGAGCTGGTGTGGCTGGGGTACTTGCAGGCTGAGGTTTCACTATCACTGAGCGGATAGATGGGACTCCTTGGTGGGGGGAAGAACTGGAGGTGGAGAGACTGACTGAGACCTGGTCAGAGTCCCCCGAGGGGCCTTAGTGCCTCCGGCTCCGTGGGTGATGCTGGAATTCCTGTTGGCAGTCATGGTCATTTCGGCTCTCTGCAGACCCAGAGCCCTCAAAGTCCCTGTGCTTTCCTGCCCACTCCATGCTCACCACAGCCGACTGGAGAGCCCAGGGCCCCCAAATCCACTGGCTTCAGCTCCGATACCCGCTGCGAGCTTCCCACAGCTCCTTCCTCTGACCTTTCGTCGAGTCTCATTATTTTAAATGTGTAAAATGGGAATGAAAACATTTGTCTTATATAGCTTCAGAATGAATGGGAAGAAAGGATGAAACAGGTGAAGTGTGAGTGAGAACTTTCTTGCCTGTTCTATTGGGCAGGACGGGTGTGGAGAGTGGATGAAGGCCAGCGTACTCTTCAATTGTCAGTTGGCGAGCCAGCATGGAGGACCCTTTTGACAGTGAAATTTGATGACATGTGTTGAGAAGTGGCTTTGGTGAACAGGCACCTATCAAATAGAGAGGCAAGATTTGAGCAAAAAAGCAAGTTACCAGTGAAATGCTATGGATACAACCGCAAAGAGAGGACAGACTTTGCCATGGGTGGACGGCTAGAACTCCACGGTGGCACTCCGTTCCAGTGGAGGTGGGCTTGCTCCATCCCCTCCACACATCTGCCCGGTTTTCTCTCCACTGTAACTCTCAATGTTGTCACTACAAGGCTTAATTAGCACCTACCAGTGTCAGGTACTGTAGTAGGTTGCTGGGCCTCTCCTAACCCAGGGCCACAGACTGGACATCTTAAGCAACAGAAACAATTTTATTGAGAATTTGAGAGGCCAGATGTCTGAGATCAAGGTATTGGCAATATTGGTTTCTTCTGAGGTCTCTCTTCTTGGCTTCTGGTAGGTTGGTGCAAAAGTGATTGCGGTTCTTGCCATTAAAAGTAATGGCAAGTTCTGCAATCACTTTTGCACCAGCCTAACAGGTCCTCTCCTCCCTGTGCCCTTACGTGGTTTTCCTTCTGTGCTTCTCTGTGTCATAATCTCCTCATTTCATAAGAACATGAGTCATATAGGATTACCTCATGACCTCATTTAACCCTGTTTTTCTCTTTATAGACTTTCTCCAAATTCAGGCACCTTCTGAGGAATGGGGGGGGGGTTAGAACTTCCATATATGAATTTTAGGGGAGCACAACTCGACCCATAACTGGGGCTTTACCCAGTGTCTCAGGATGGTTATTCTTTTTCTCATTTTAGAACTTTGGAAATTGAGGAACATGGAGGATGAATGAGTTGCCAAAGGTCACACAGAATTTCTAGATGCTGAACTTAATTTCAGATGACCCCTGGGACTCCACTGCTTCATGCTGGTAGGCAACTCTGAGAGGGTCCATACCACAGTGAAGGCACTGGCAACATAGACAGAACAGCGGTATGTGTAAATAAAGACGCTTTAGACTTCCTGTTGGGCTTTTCAAACAACTTCTCCGGTTTCTGTATCTGAGCCGAGCAGGATTCGAGTCCTGTCACTGATTAGATCAACTGGCAAATCTCTGACACACCTATAAATGTGATCACTCTGTCTTAACCTCTTCCCCTCCCCCTTGCCTCTATACCAAATTTCCCATGCTTTTAGCAAAAACAACTTTAAGTGTTTTTTTTTAATGTTAAGTATTTTTGAGGAATACATTTCGTCTCTCCTTGTACAAACTTGTTTCTATTTCTGTTCTTTATTTGAAATGACATTAAACCTGTATTGCTCAAAATGCTCTGTCTTCTGGTATATAAGTTTGATAATTTATACAAACTTACTATTTATACACTGTACTTGGCAGGGCCAGAAATACACAATGACCAAGGTCAGACTCATAACACCCATTAGCCCTAATACTAACACTGGGCAAATAGGAGAGTCAGTAAATGAATGTCAGTGAGCTGTAAAATACGTGATAGTGAAACAGTTCTCTCAGTCACCTTTTATAGACAGAAGCTGGCCACTAGAAGATATATAGGCCTAATAAATCAATGAGAAGGAATTCCAAAATGGATAAATCAATACTCAAGCAGTCAGAGAATCCTATAGGTATATGAAAATGACCAATTGGGGCCTTTAAACCTCAGCCAGGAGGTTTAGCCAAGATAGTCTCTAATGATAGATGAACTGAAATGATAAATATCTCTGTGGAGGAAGTTTGTATTGTTTATACTTTTTCTAAATCACCCTTCGTACAATGGCAATATAAACTGACTTCTTGAAGCTAAAGAACAATTTCATAAGAGGTTCCAGTTGTAAATCCATACACCTGGGGAAGATCTCCAAGGAATTAGGTCATTTGCCTAAATAGTTTCAGGTGTGACTAGTCTACATAATTAAGTTCGTTACCATTTGCATTTTACAGATGTGCAATCATGCAGTGGCTGTTAGTGGGAGTGTATATTAATGCCTTCCTTCTAGAATAGAATGTGACATATATAAAAACACTAATTGCTGCTCACTGGCTATTTGACGTCTAGAAGGCTAACCTTAAAAGGTCACCCAATGTTGATAAAGATGTTCGGTTCGGTGTTATTTATATCTTTAAAAATACAAAACAGAAATAGCCTCCTAAATGCGCAATGTTAGGAGGGTGCATACACTCACAATGATATGTTCATAAAAAGATATTAATAGACAAATAGTAAACAGATATTATCAAGTAAATTTAATGATACAAGGAAATGCCTATGATTTAAACTTAGATTTAAAAGCAGGCTGCAAGACTGCATTCATATCCACAATATTATTATAGTTATGTTTTCAAATAATAAAAATTGTAAGAAAATCGTTATTAAAATATTGTTTCTGCATTGCCTTTCTTTATATCTTTCTGCATTTTCTGTAGATATAGGAATAAATTTTTAATCAGAATAGATCCTTATTTAGGAAGTATTCTTTTCCAGTGTTCTCTTAGATTCACTTCAGAGAATCTATCATAAAGATATACTTCAAAATATTTTTTAAAAAATATTCACAATAATTGTTAATCACATTATTTATAAAAGTAGAAAAATGGAAACTTCCCAAATGTTTGAAAGTAGGTAGACTAAGAAACTAGGTTGATCCAGAAAATCATAATGTAGCTACATGATAACATATTAGGAAGTCAATTAAATTATAATTTTGTGAACTTTTCACAGTATAAAAATATATATTAATGTTAAGCAAAAAATTGCTGTATATATGGTATGACTATGACAATAATGCCAAATGCTCCACAATGCTAACTGTGGCTTAATTTTTGAATAAGACTATCAAATGTACATTTCTTTTTGTTATTAGCTTATTTTTCAAATATTCTCTTGCAAACATATCTAACATTTATAATTGGATCCTGGTAAGTAAACTTTATCTTGTGTCATTTAAAAAACCTTCTGTGAGTGTTGGCTCACTGTTGTATATTGTCTTTCTTACATAAATCACATCCATAATATTCTCTCCAAGATTTATTTTTTATTAAAATGTTACGAGAACTTAAGGATACTTGTAATGCAATCTGAGTGTATGCTGTCTGTGCTTCCAGATTTTGTAATGTTACCCAGGCTTTTGATGCTTTTCCTCCTACAATATTTTCTAATGACTTGCATTTTTAGTTTTCTTAGAAAACAATTTGTTTCTCCCTTGTATTTAATCCATTTTTATAATACTCAGTTAACTTATACTGCCAATAGCAAGTGTGAGTTGTAGAATTTAGCTTTGGGAACAGCCACAATTGACCCTTGACAAGTACACATTGTGGCTGGGAGGATCATGAATGCTTAGGCATATTAGAGAGTAGCCCACTTACTTAAGGTGATCATGCAGGGACAACAATAACATGTTTATAGGCAAGTGAGGAAGCACTCATTAATTTGGCTACTAAAATAGAATGTTCATTCAATATTGAGCCCTTGTGCCAGAGGCCATGGATGTAAACGCTCATGCATTGTTCAGTGAGGATTAGCAGTGGACACCTTCAGCCAAGCTGAAGCTCCTTAGTTCACTGTACTCCAATGACTGATAACATATACTTGAGCCTCCTCTGAGACTTTTATTTTTTAATTAATTAATTAATTTTTTGAGATGGAATCTCGCTCTTTCGCCCAGGATGGAGTGCAGTGGAATGATTTCGGCTCACTGTAACCTTCACCTCTCGGGTTCAAGTGATTCTCCTTCCTCAGCCTCCCGAGTAGCTGGGACTGTGGGCGTGCACCACCACACCTGGCTGATTTTTGTATTTTTAGTAGAGATGAGGTTTCATCATGTTGGCCAGGCTGGTCTCAAACTGCTGACCTCAAGTGGTCCGCCCGCCTCAGCCTCCCAAAATGCTGGGATTACAGGTGTGAGCCACTGCTCCCCGCCTCCTCTGAGACTTTTAAATTTAAGAATGAAATTGGGAACACGTGAAGAGAGGCTCAACCTCATTTGACATTAGGAAAATGCAAAATAAAACCAAATGAGCTATTAAGATATTATAAGCTATTAAGATAGTTACAGAAAACAAAAATCCCTGACAATATCAAGCTCTAGTGAGGATACGTAACTACTAGAATCCTCATGCATTGCCAGTAGGAATGCACAATGGTACTGCTGCTGTTTTGTATACAATGAAACATGCTTATTATGTGTTCCAACAATTCCACTCTTATGTATATTACCAAGAGAAATAAAAACATAAGTCAACATAAAAACCTGTCTTTGAATATTTGTAGTGACTTTATTCATAGCAGCCAAAAATCAGCACAATTGCTCATCAACTGGTGAATGGATAAACAAGTTGTAATATACTCATACGATAAATGCTAAGTATATATATATATATATATATATACCACTAATACATAAATCTCAAATAAATTTTGCTAAATGAAAGAAGCAAGGCTCAAAACTACATATAGTAGGAGTTGATTTCTATGACATCTGGAAAAGGAAAAACTGTAAGAACAGAAATCAGATCACTGGTTACCTGGGACTTCAATAGGAGACGTGACAGAGAAAGGGAGGGAAGGAGACTGGGGAGACAGAGAGGGAGGGAGGGAGGGCGAGAGAGAGAGAGAAAGAAAGAGAATTGCTATCTGAATTGCTATCTCATTAATCACAGCAATTTTTCTGCTTCAGCTTCATCTATAAATAAAGTGGTACTTAACACGAAACTCTATTTCTTGGGAAGAGTTCTAAATGAGCCTCAAAGCAGTATGAGAAGCACACCAGCTT